TTTAAGAGTTTCAACTTCTTGGAAAGAGTACAGGATCACTCTGCAAAGAAGAGAGTGTCCCAAACCTTGAAACTAAATTGCCTAATTCCGGACGACGATCCTTGCGCAATGACGTTTCCTATGAGCAATTGACATGCATCAATATAAGAAATCAGGAAAATACAATAAAATTTGAGGTATAATTAAATTAAGAAACATACCTCCAAGACAATGTTGTTGACTTTCTGTCGGGACAGCTCCAACTGGTTCGACAAACACGAACCATCCAAACTTTGAGAGAGAGACATTTGCGTGAGCCGCTCTTCCTTTCTCTTCTCTACCTTCTCGACGAGTTCATCAATGTTTGGATAGTCGATGTTGCCGATTACTTTGTTGGTGTGCGTACGTTTAATTAACGCAACTAAATCCAAAGGTACACCGCCAGCTTATTGAGTCTACAAACGTTTTAATAAATATTATTTATGTAAAAGATAACAAAAAAACTAGTTAAGAAAATTTCAAGTAAACTTACCATCTCGTCCTCGCGCGCTAAAAAACTTGTAGCCTCTGAGTTGAGTACTTCGAGGATTCTTCTTACGGTTCTCCGAGTTTATCTTTGCAAGCTTTTGCGTTGCCGGATCAACCTAATATGGTTGCAATCCCACCCAAAAATTTTCGTCCAAGTTAGTTGGCTTCTCCAACCCGTTTTGTCATTTCTCCTTCCACTCGTTCATGTGTCCCAAATAACTACGCGCAGAAGATTGATACATTACAACTTGATGGATCACCTAATTAGGTTACTTGTGGCAGAAAAACTTATAATTAGTTTACGATAATTATAGCTATTATTTCTCGGATACATAAATTAATTGTATTGGTTTTGAGTTCAAAAATTATATGTAATAAACGTATTGGAATTATAAATATGGCTAAGCAATATAATACACTGTCTCCATGTGAAAATTTGAAAATGAAAACAAATGCTTAGGTTGGAACCTAATCTTTTGTTTAATTGATAGTATCAAATCCATGCTAGTTCCCATCTTATTCCTCTACTGCCTTGTGTTCCACGTATTTCTTTCCCTTTCTGTTCAACTTCTATTATCTTTTCTTCTTTTAGTTTATCCCTTTTTTCTTTCGTTTTAATGTGATGAATCAATCAATATCGTCAAAAAATTTCACCTTTGGCTTTGTGATAATTCCAATCTAATTCATTGCAAAATTTTCGTGGTAGAAACCCCATATCGTGTATAACTTGATAGCCAAAAGAGGAAAATTTAAAAGTGTGATTGAAAAAGACTTTTTGGCAGTTTCTACAATATTCAGTTGAATTTTCCACTATTTGCTTTTGATTGTTCAGTTTGCGCATCTGTTTTAGAGATGTAAATTGCTAACGAAAACATATAGTTTAATGGTTGTACTAGTGTCTTAATCGTATGACTATATGAACCCAAACCCCCATAATTCATATTTTTGAAAATAAATATAGACTACTAAAACATCATAATGTATGAGTAATCAAAACATCTTCTGCAACATCTTAGGGGTATATATGGATAATCATTTCACATTTCAACAACAACAACAAAAATATATATATATATGGATAATCAAGAAGGACCAGCTAATAGCCAATATTTATTCTTCTGCATATTCAACCAAAACAATATGATACTTTCTTACTTACTTTAAGTGGATAAATTAAGCAAGCAATCAATGGTTAATTCCAGCTAATAAAGTCTCAACACAAAGAAGGATATTGTTAAATAACTTTGTTTTATATAAAATGTTACTATATATACAGTTTCTTTTTAAGATTAGTTTTGGGATTTTGAAAGTAACATTTTTAAGATTCGTTTTGTTATAAAGGATGCATGATTTTAGCATATTT